AGAGGGAGAGACAGAGAGAGAGAGAGGGAGAGACACACACACACCCAAAAGCAGAAACATCTAAAAAAAAAAATGCTAGGAAAAAAAGGGGGTCTTTTGAATATGACAGGTGAGTGAAACATCTTGTGAAGAAGATGACAAGGATGACAAAGAGAACTGGCAGAGGATTCATCTTTGTGAAAGAAGAAGGGACCTCTCTCCCCGAGAAGGCAGACCAGTGAAGACTCAGGTATTCACAGGTGGAGAGGAGGGTTTAACAGATGAGAGCAGAGACGTACCCCAAACCCTGGCTGCAAATAGAAGAGGTTGGAGTCCATGAAGGATGGAAGAGGGCAACGCGTGTGGGTGATGCCCTCGCTCACTGGGTGTTTGAGCCTCTGCTCTGGCCATCACTCATAAACGAAGAAGATGCTGATGCAGCCGATTAAGCACTATGACTGGAAATGAGAACAGCAGAATTTTATAATGAAGGAGCCACAGGGTTTTGATTTTTTTTTTTTTTTTTTTTTTTTTTTTTTTTTTGCCATAGGATGCGTTTGCTTGCCGGAGAGACAGATAGTTAGAGGGAAGGTGAGAAATCACTCCTGAGGGGGGATGGTCATGCCACAATCCCTTTTCCTCCTGGGATTATGGGCACACACGCCCATGTGCCTGTGTGATTTTCAAGCCACCGGGTCCAGGGCTCAAACTGTAGTTGACCATGTGGGAATCCAGCACCTTAGCCACCACGCCACTTGCTGGCCCTTATCCACTTTTCTGGATTTCTACACAACAGCATCCTTTATCTTAGTAACTGCTATACCATCTGCTGGCCCTCAGGATGATTTTTCTAAATGCTTATGTGGCCCTCTCATTCTGCCATCGAAAATCTTTCAGTGGCTTTCTGCTGTCTCAGGGATATATTGAAATCTCTCAGGGATAAATTCAAATTTCCTTTAACAGGTTTATAAGGCCCTGGATTGTTTACAAGTCTCTGTTTAGCCCTCCAACCTCACAATGAAGAATTATCTGGCAAAATGTTGATAGTGCCAAGATGGAGAAACACAACCCCTAGAGCCCATTTTTGTGGACTCCATAAAAATGAAGATGTTAGCCAAGAGAGAGAAAGAGTAGAGCCCAAGAAACAAGAGATCCAACATGAGAAAGAGGTGGGAAAACACCCCAGTATTTATACATTATAAGTTAAGGCCAAGTTCTTCTTGTTGCTATTTGACTTTTCAGGCCTAGACTTGGTAGTGTCCATATTAACCTGGAGCTGGATTTTTTTGTTTGTTTGGTTTTTTTTTGTTTGTTTGTTTACTATAGGGCTCAGGTGCTTACCAGAGAAAGATGGAAATTAAAAAAAGAGAGAAGAAAAATTACACCCCGCCCCCCCAGGAGGGGATGGCTAAACCACAATCCCTTCTCCATTCTCCTTTTGGGATTTTTGATATGTGTGGACACTCACCTAGTGTGATTATCAAGTCCCTGGCAGCTTGCTTACTCACTTCCCCTCTCTGTCTCAGGGCAAATTAAAAATAAACTAATTAGGGGGCCTGCAGATAGCATAGTGGTTAAGGATACTGGACTCCCAAATAGCTGACAGTGGTTCGAGTCCCAGACCTGGTGGCTTGCTTTCTCACTTTTCTTCTCTCCCTCTCTAGTCAAAATTTAAAAAAATAAAGTTAAATAAAATAATTATTTCTTTAAAATCCTAATTAATTAATTCTTTAAAAGAAAAAGGAAAGTGGATAGACTTAATAGCTATTTGTGAAGTAGAAGCAAGAACACTTTTTGTTTTATCTTTTTCTTCTGTGAGGGACAGAGAGAGCAAATCCCGTCACAGGGTCTTCCTGTTGCCATCTACCCACAGCCTTCAGCCAGGGCTGGATCATTAGCAAGCACTTTCCCAGCATACTCAGGGAGGTCTCCAGACTGGAACTGGAAACTTTCCTACTTGGGATTGCCTCACAGACTGTTCTGTTTTACCATTGAGCCAATGCCTGACCCAGTGAATAAACTAAAAAAAAAAAAAAGTACTTAAGCAAAATTATGGAGGGAGTAGGGGGAGTGAGTGCCTTGCTTCTCAGGCTTCCTCTTTATGATGCAAAGTGTATACAGGTTGCCATAGAGGACAAATAATCCAGATATTTTATACAGGGCCAGTTGGTAGCATGGTAGTTAAGGAGGTGGCTCCTACATGGCCAACTGTGTGGTTTTGAGTCTTTTGGCATGTGTGTATGTATGCGGATGTCCCAGGAGGAGACTGGAGGAGAGATTGTACTCTGGGGCTGCTTTTCCACTTTCCTTCTCTTGGTATCTCTCCAGCAAGCACACATGCTGATGGCAAATTAAAAAAAAGACAGGAAGAAAAAGAAATACTTTATATATCACAGTAGTTGGAATAAAAACTCTAGAGGATTACATAGTAGAATTTCAATAGCACTCTGCTGTTTATTGAAAATTGTCACTCAAAAATGAAGATGAGGGGGCCAGCAGGTGGTGTGGTAAATAAGGCTCTGGACTCCCATATAGCCTACTGTGGCTTGAGTCCCAGACCTGGTGGCTGTCTTTCTCACTTTCTCTCTCTCTGGTGAGTGCACGTGCCCTCTAGCAAATTAAATAATAATAATAAATAAAATTTAAAGACATAAATTTTTAAAATAATTATTTTAAAAATTTATGTCTTTAAATTTTATTTATTATTATTATTTAATTTGCTAGAGGGCACGTGCACTCACCAGAGAGAGAGAAAGTGAGAAAGCAAGTCACCAGGTCTGGGACTCAAGCTGCGATTGGACATGTCGGAGTCCAGTGCCTTTAACCACCACACCACATGCCGTCCCCCATAAATAATTATTTTTGGGACCAGCAGTTAGTGTGATGGCTATGTCGCTGGACCCCCATGTAGTCGACCGCAGTTCGCGTCCCGGACCCAGTGGCTTAAAACTCACGCCGGGCGCATGTGTGTGCATGCCCAAGGTCCCGAGAGGAGAATGGAGGAGAAGGGATTGCAGCATGGCCATCCCCCCGGGGGGTGATTTCTCGCTTTCTGTCTCTCTGTCTCTGTCTTTCTGGTGAGCACACGTGCCCTATGGCAAAAACCTCTCCAAAAAGTAAAAACAAACAAACAAACAAACAATAATTCTTTTTTTAAAAATGAAGGAAAGGGTCAGCCCTGTAATCTGGTGATTTAGGGACCCAAATTCGACATGGCCAATTGCAGTTCAAATCCCAGCTCAAGCAGCTTGAAAAATATGCCAGGCACATATGTGTATGTTACCCAAAATCCCGAAAGGGTGGAGAAATGAAGGAAAGGGGAATCCCCCCACTATCCTTTGGGGTATTATCTGATTTCTCACTTTCTCTGTCTCTCTGGCTAGTGCACATGCCCTCTGTCAATTCAAAAAAATTAAAGAAATAAAAAAAAACAAAAAAAAGAAGAAATGAAGACTTGCTTAGATAAAAGCTGGAGAGGTCATCACCACTAAAACTGCCCTATAAGAAATACTAAAGGGGAGCCAGCAGGTGGCGTGGTGGTTAAGATGCTGGACCAACTGCAGTTAAGTCCTACACCTGGTAGCTTGTCTTTTCACTTTCCCTTTTCTCTCTCTGGTGAGCGCATGTGCCCTATAGCAAATGAAAAAAATAACTGGGTAAGTCATGATGCATTTTGGACAGAAAAACATAAAAATATGTCATGACTTTCCCAATGATCTGATGATAATAAATAAAATTAATAAATAATTCTTAAATAAAAAAGAAATACTAAAGAGAATCCTTCAAGTTGAAATAATATGTGGGCCAGCAAGTGGCATAGAAGTTAAGGTGCTGGTTCCCACATGGCTAACTGCAGTTTGTGTCCCAGACCTAGCAGTTTGAACCCGAGAAGAGAGTGTAAGAGGAGGAATTGTAGCATGGCCATTCCCCCAAGGGGTGATTTCTCATTTTCTTTCTGGCAAGTCCATTTGCCCTATAGCAGAAAAACAAACAAAAACAAAACCTCTGAAACACTGGGCAGCTCTGTGGTTAGGTAGTTAGGTGGTTAGGTGCTGTTCATTGGGAGTTTGATCCCACATGGCTGACTGTGGCTCATATCCTGGCCCTGGCGGCTTGAAAAACATGCCAGGTGTGTGTGTGTGTGTGTGTGTGTGTGTGTGTATCTGTGTGTGTGTCTGTGCCCCAAATCCTGACTGGATGGAGAAATGGAATACCATATCCTTCCTGGGATGCTTCTCCCCACCCTTGCCTCTGGTGAGTGCATGTGCCCCCTGGCAATTGAAAAGGACTTGAATCATAAAAAATCTGTACTATTGTTCATTTTCATTTTATTACTGCTTGTTGGTTGATTAAAATTACCAATTCAGGCCAGCAGGTGGCATGGTGGTTACAATGCTGGATACCCATGTGGCTGTACTGTTCCAGTCCTGGACCCAGGTTCCTGAAAAACACACCCGTGGAGGGCGCTGCATACTGAAGCCATCTTGAGCTATCCACCATCTTGGAAACCATTAGGCTTTACTTCTTTACTGAGCAAACCGTTTCTCAGTAATCATGTGACCAACTGTTCTCCCTGAGGGACAGTTGGGTTTTTAGGCAACGGGAGAGATCCACCCACACCCATGATTGGTTCATGCCATTCTATCTCATTTGCATTCCAGGCAACCAATCGGTGCCCACCAGACTGTTTATAACTCGCCATTTTTCCTCAATAAACAGAAGAAGAAGACTTAATCAGCACCTCATATTGTCTCCACTCTGTGTGAGTGTGTGTGCATGTGTTTGTCCCATCTCTCACTCCCTCCCCCAGGAAACCTGTTCGACTGTCCCCCAGGTCGGGGACACACACCTGGAATGTGTGTGTGTGTGTCCAAAATCCTGAGAGGAGAATGGAGGAGAAGGAATTGTAGCATGGTCATCCTCCTGGTGGGTGATTTCTCACTTTCCTTCTCTGTCTCCAGTGAGCACATGCACCCTTGGCAAAAACAAAACAAAACAAAACAAAACAATAAAATGATCAGTTCTGCTTCCACTTACTTTATTTTAGAAGGGGTGATTGTTACACTGAATAAAACCAAAATTAAACTGTATCATAGGTAACTGTTAATGTTTGATTATTTTATCTATAGTAACATTAGAAAAGTTTAAAAGATGATTTCATTGGGTTCAGCCTTAACTGTAGTGAAGCATTCTGGAAAGAGGAAAAGCAGAGGTGATGGGTTTGATTCCCAGGAGCTGCTTGGTGGCAAAGTCCCAGTCTTTACCCAATTCCAGCCGTTGACAGATAGATGAATACTGTCCTTCGGTTCTTCTGACCCAATTACTTGCTTTCTTTATTGCCTCAGAAGCCCAGGGAATATTCCTAGATTAAAAAAAAGCTTCCATTGATTTCAGAGTATAATTATATATGACATATAATGTGGTATTAAATTATATCAGACAAAATGTTTCCATCTAAAGTTAGGATATCTAATAAAAACAATTGTTCAGGCCAGCTGGTGGCATGATATTTAAGGCAGCTGATCCCACATGGCCAACTGTGGGGTTTAAGTCCCAGGCCCTGTGGCTTGAAACACAAGAAGACACCTTCATGGCTACTGAGAACTAATGATTTCAGGGGAATAGGAGAAATGAAGATTTTCCACTGACAATTCAGCCTCCAGCCCACAAACTCATATAGAGAGGCAAGGGAGCAGGCCTCAGAAGACACCTTCAGGGACCAGCAGTTGGCGTAATGGCTTTGTTGCTGAACTCCCATGGTTCGAGTCCCGGACCTGGTGGCTTAAACTCAAGCTGGGTACGTGTGTGTGTGTGCCCAAGATCCCAAGAGGAGAATGGAGGAGAAGGGATTGCGGTGTGGCCACCCCCCCTGGGGGGGTGATTACTTGCTTTCTGTCTCTTTATCTCTCTCTGTCTTTCTGGTGAGCGCATGCGCCCTATAGCAAAAACCTCTACAAAAAAAAAAACACCTTCATGGCTACCGAGAACTAGTGATTTCAGGGCAATAGGAGAAATGAAGATTTTTCCACTGATAATTCAGCCTCCAGCCCACAAACTCGCATGGTAGGAAGACTTTCAAGCCTCCTGTGTCTGTCTCTGTCTTTGTCTCTCTCTACCTCTGTCTCTGTCTTTTCCTTTTTGTTTTTTTTTGAGAGGTTTTTGCTATAGGGCGCGTGCGCTCGCCAGACAGACAGAGAGAGACAGAGAGATAGAAAGCGAGAAATCACCCCCCAGAGGGGATGGCCACGCCGCAATCCCTTCTCCTCCATTCTCCTCTCGGGATCTTG